TTTTTTTTTTTTTTTTTTTTTTTCCTAGTTGGACCACCAACGAGTGAAAAATTCAGTTCTTTAAGATTTTTAGGACATTAGTCCCACTTTTGATAGCAAATTAAATTTGTATTAATGTCCAAGCAAGATGCGGCTTTGAAAAGCGTAACCCATATCCGCGTTCTGATCTTAAAATACCCTGATACCTTATAGCATGAATTCAATGGCGAATATACCTCCAGAAAAGCGATGTCAGAAATTTGTGAAAGCTTTAAAAAAAAGCTATAATATTGGAACATTGCTTGATAGAAAGGCAGTTTAGCGAATTCTCTGCACAACATAACTCACATGTTCGGAACTTTTGCGTTTTTTATTTATTTATTATTTATAATGAATGATTGTTATATAGGGATATTATTATAAAAATGTCTGACTGTATTTAAAATTGTCTATCTCCTTTTTTTTATAAATAATTTTCTAGGTTAGCTGGGGAGTTATATTTCATCCAAAAGATAGTTCAAGAGGGGGGATAAACCCTTACCTCTGTAATACAACACAAGGATATAGTCTATCCTTCACAAAAGGGCACTGGTAACCTATTCACATGCCCAACCAGAGAGGGGGAAAAAAATTAACTAACAAAAAAGTTCGACTTGTCATATTTTGTTCAAATACTATGTATTTGATTTTTGTCTAGATGATAAGGCCCTTAGCATCTTTGGGTAACTGCTGTGCCGAGAAGTAGAAACTACCATTTTGTGTGTTGGTAGCCATTTTTGCAAGCCAATCAGCTAGTTGGTTATCCTCTCTATAACATTGAGTAATGTGTACATTAGATTGGTGAATCATTTGAGCGGTCTCTTCTATAATCTTGTTCATCTTGTAGTTGTTTGCCTTCCTTTCCCTAAGCATATTTGCAACCAGTAGAAAGTCCAACTCGATGGTGAAGGTTGTGTAGCCATTTTGTATACACCAATTTCCTCCAAACCATGCTACATAAGCCTCTGCAAAATTATGACAAATTATGACTGCTACACTGAATTGAGAATGAGAATGCCATTATAAGGTTGCCATTGCCACCTCTTAGTACCCCACCCATGCCTGCCTTTCCATCTATCTTGTTGAAGCTACCATCTGTGTTCAGTTTGAATGATCGTTCCTCTGGTTTCTGCCAATTCACTAAGATGACCTTG